TCCAAAGCAACACTACGAGATATTTTGTCGTTTGAGGCCATTTTCGGTGTGTGGTAATTCTTTGGTTCTTATTCGTTATCTGTAAAAAAATGAATATAGTAATAACAGTTTAAAAGTGCACTAAATATTTTTTAGTATGATTAAAATATTCTTTGGTATGATGTCTTCCCATATGTATGTACCCATTTCTTCTAGTTCTCTGTTCCGATTGTTTTAGTCTCTTTTATTAATTGTTGCGCTCCAATGGTTTTGATTTGCTTGGTTAATTTTTTTACGCTTGGCCGTATTGGCCATGGCTTTTGTTCCCTTGAAAACGGAAAGATGTAGAAACAGAAATTTTTATGGGCATATGTGGAGAGACAATGTGCATAATTTAAAATTATTTTCAAATATACAGGAGGTGTCAGAACGAACGAAGATCCGTACCAAAGTTATATTTTTTCTTATGGAACACCCGGTATTTTATTTTATTTTTGGATTCTTGGGCATAAAATAAGGTGTTTATTATAAGGGTTTAATATGTTTAAAAGCTTTGGTTTTTGAGATACTTAAATATGCATATTATAATAAAAAAGTTAACTTTACTAAACATTTTTATTGCTTCCTTAAATGTATACAGGGGTATCAAAAATTGCTGGTCTATTTTAAATATTCATTTTACATAAAAACTTCGTTATTTCAAATATAACACGCTGTATTTTTTAAATAAAGCATATTCAAAAGCTCTTTCAAACTATATTAGGGTTTCCCATACCTATCTAGCTCAGATATTGAATAAAGAACAATTTTTCAATAAAATGGCAATCAAGAGGGCTAATTTCGTCATGGCAAGTTTCTAGTGGCAGTTATTATATATAGCTATTTTAAAAATCGAAATTAGTTTATGGACTTTATTTAAATTTATACGAGTTTACTTTTATTTAATTTACCTATAATAGTTTAATAAATAATATTTGTTAAATATGTATTTATTATTCTATCAAGAATAAGTAATAATAATAAATCAAACGAAGTAGTTCTTTGATTTATTTTACGATAACTTGTAGATAGGTATATGGATTTCCTATAAAATAGCCAATTCTTCACTTCCAACGACAGGTTTCTGCCTAATAGCTTTTTTTATAAACCACACTACCAGCTCTGCTAAATAGGACAAGTATTTTTTCAAAAACGAACGCTTATCAGGAAGATTCCTATTTGGATATCTTTGAGCCTTGAGGCCAAGAAGCAATTTTTCGCACAAAATAAAATCACTAGTAACATTCGTTCCGCTAGCAGATACTGCTTTATTTTTCTTGATAAAATGATGCTGATGATGAAATACTTACTTATTAAACTATTGTAGGTAAATTTAACTGTTACTCGAAAATTGCCATGGACACCAGCTATCTTGATTGCGATTTTATTGAAAACCCGTTTTTTATTCAAAATCTGAACTAGATAGATATAGAAAACCCCAATATAGTTTGGACCAAGACCATTTGAATCTGCTTCAATTTATTTAAAAAATACAGGGTATAGCATTTGAAATAACAACGTTTTTATAAAAAATAAATCCTTAAAATAGATCAGCAATTTTTGGTACCCCTGTATAAATTTAAGAAAGCAATAACATTTTTCAGTCAAGTTTACTTCCCCATCTTTAAACTCAGCACAAGAATTAATTCTGAAAAGTAATGTATGTAATCTATTCTATTGTAGCATGCGTATTTAAATATCTTTAAATATCTCAAAAACCAAAGATTTTAAACATATTTAACCCTTATAATAGATGTCTTTTTTTGAGCCCAAGAATCTAAAAAAGAAATAAAATACCGGGTGTTCCATAAGAAAAACCCCCTCAACTTTGGTATGGATCTCAGTTATGAAACATCCTGTATATTTCAAAATAATTTTAAATTGTGCCACATTGTCTCCCCACATATACCCATAAAATATTTTTTTTCTATATCTTTCCGTTTTCCTATAATCAGCCGCGGCAAATGAGGTGCACCACCCTGTATAGACGCTCCATTTGTAAATATTAGTTTAGTTTTAATCATCTGCTAAAGGTGCTAACATGGTTAGCAAAATGCGTCCAGTGTTAAAAGGAGTGTTTTGGTGTATTTATTGTGGTGAGTTAATGTTTTATTTCATTTATAAATGTCAACAAAGGATCATTGTATTCTTAACACTATAAAAATATTCTATTCTGTATGTAGAACCCAACTTATTTATAAATGCATGATTATTTTTTTGAACAAACAAATTAATTCTGTTTTCGTGATATTTTCCATCTGGTTGACTGCGGAAAATTCTTTCAATTACGCTCTTTTGTGATGCAGTTTTCTATTGCAAAAAAGTTCTATCAGGAACGGCAAATATTCATTAGAAAGGAAATGCAAAAATATTTTTCAATAAAGCAAAGAATCAATATAATAGGTAAAGGAATCTCTGGCGCATTTCGCGTTTCATTAATAAGGGATTTTAGTAAAAATAATATTTTAATACTGCTGGTAACAATCAAATTGTAATAAAGAGAAGGGTTTTACAAGTTTTAAACTAAAATATAAGTAGTTTAAATTAGAAAATGCAATAAAGTAATATTAAAATACCTAATAATATTAAATCGTTAAAAAAAGTACCTAATATTTCTTAGAATGTTTCAGAGAATATAAAATAGTTTTTCTTCGTTTTTTTTTTAATGGAACACCCTATTATTATTTCTTTGTTAAGTGAAGAATTAAAAAATGAACACTTTTTGTATTTAAAGCATTTTAGAATTTTTAGCGGTTCCATTTAAAAAAAGGAAGAAAAACTATTTTAGAAAGTTTGGCATAGAATTTGGAACACCCTGTATGGTTTAAGATTACGATATTTACAGCAAAGTAAGTGCAGACTAACTATAGTAAATACTTAGTATAGTTGTTTGGATTGGGTTAATGTAGCCTAATCCAAACTGTAAAAAATGTGTCCTGTATTTTAATATTCTTGTTGACAGGCTGAAAAAATATATTTTTTTCAAACGTCACAAAAGTATTAATTTTTGCGACGTGATTGACAATATAAAAAGTCATTTTAACGCGAAAATATATTATTAAACTGACATAAAGTGCCAAATTCAACGAGCGTAACCATAGTTTCTCGATATATAATTCTTACATACAAGGTATGACTTTTAAATATTTTTATATTATTTGGAACGTTTGAAATTGCTTAAAAACTTATTTGTGGCGTTTAAAAAAAAATAGCATGTTCTATTCGGAGTAAAAATTACATTTTGTGCCTCGCCTGTATGTTAACGTACAGCATCGCCACAAAAGATGTCATTTTTACTCCTAATAAAACAATATATTATTTTATTTATTTATTAATATCTCTTACAGTATCAAAACATATTTAATAATATCTTAGGATAATGTAAAATGATCAGAAAAGAAGCCAAAAATGCAATAATATACAGGGTAAATACATCCTAATACATACATTAGGTTTGCACTTTATAGAAAATTCGTAAGTAACTACAGATACCCGACGCGTTATTGCCGGATCCGTATTAAGTAGTAGGAAAAACTTTGAACTGGGTAACCCCTACATGTGGCAACTTTTTGATTGGCACTCTGTTAAAAGTATATTCCCCTATTCATAAATATACAGTGCTGGCAACTGTTACTTTTGGGTCGGTATTTACATGTGTGGAAGTACATCGCATAGGGATCTTATTAAGTCGGAGCGGTGGTCGGAGTGAGAGGAATGCGACGGTGTACTGTTGCGGCGTTGCCGTTACGCCTTTCCCTATCAAGTAAAGTAAAATCACGATCGCAAACCGCTTATTTTTAAAATACTTTTTTTCGAAAAGATAACTAGATAAAAACATTAGACATGTTTCTGAGCATCTGAAATGGAATTATAAGGATATCCTTAAGGTGTCATTTTTTAGAGAGTACAAGAAAACGTCAGTAATCGCGATAATTTAAAAACTCAACTTTTTAACACATAACACGCCATAACTCAAGAACCGCTTTAGATATTGAAACTTTTTTTTATTTTGAAGAGCGGATCTTTTACAATATGTTTACATAAGAAAAATTCGA